AATATTCCATTGTATACATATACCAAATTTTAATAATCCACTCATGAATTGATGGGCACTTGGGTTGTTTCCACATCCCTGAAATAGTGAATTGTGCTGCCATAAACATTCGGGTGCAGATGTCTTTATTATAGAATGTCTTTTGTTTTTTTGGGTAGATGCCTAATAGTGCTATTGCTGGATCGAATGGTATTTCTATTTTTAGCCACCAAAGAGTAACCATGACCTTTTTTGGTGCAAATTTGGCTCTAGGAAGTGCTTTGGAGCTTCTTCTCGGTCCAGCCACTGAGCTGGTTGTTGCGGGTTGTTGTATAAAATCCACTTGTCGTCGAACATCACAATCTAAAAGAGAAACAGTTCATTGTTGTTGCATACAACAAGAGAAGACGACACTTCAAAATGATGTTTTTTTGATTTTCGGTCAGCTTATGAGGCACCCACTTATCGAGCTTTTTCATCTTTCCAATTTGTTTCGAATGCTGAATTACCGTAGAATGGTCGAGGTTGAGTTTTTCGGCAACTTTTTGTGTAGTTGTAAGAGGATCAGCTTTTATGATTGCTCTCAGTTGGTTGTTGTCAACTTCTGATGGCCGGCCACTGCGCTCCTCATCTTCAAGGCTCTAGTCTCCTTTGCAAAACTTGTTGAACCACCATTGCACTGTAGGTTTGTTAGCAGTTCCTGGGCCAAATGCGTTGTTGATGTTGCAAGTTGTCTCCACTGCTTTCCGACCCATTTTGGACACGAATAAGAAAATCGCTCAGATTTGCTTTTTGTCTGACATCATTTCCATAGTCTAAAATAAATATAAAATAAACAGCAAGTCATAAGTCATTAGCAAAAAAACATAAAGGAAGAAATGTGCATTAATATGATGTATAACATAACCACATTTATTTAAGAATGCATTCCGGCATCAACCGGGAAATTTCAACAGTGCTAAAAACGCAATTACTTTTGCACCAACCTAACACAGCACAAACATGTTTATGCCTCAGAGTGCTGTCCTTTACAAAATAAAAAGTTCTGCTGATCATATTCTCATATTCTCTCAGTTTTATTTTTATAGTGTGATGGTACTATTGATGGGCTGCACTAGTTTATCCATATTCTTGACTTTGGTTACCCACAGCATAAATTTGTGCAATAGCTGGCCTTGCAGTTGGATTGCTATGATTTCTGGGAGTGAGTGGGGCAGTCATAATTCTGCAAGTTTGCTGTACTCCTTTCATTTCTAGAGAGCAGCTTTTCTCTGGTGGTCCATTGATGGAATAAGATATAATATGACACTATTCATTCCTGTTTTTGAATTTTGATTCTGAGGAATTTTGTATGCTGTTAGTTGACATGTAGCATCATTTCCTTAGGTTCCATTTTGCAACTTAACATGATTAAGGACACTGAGTGACCTGATGATAAATTTTTTTGTACATCTGACTCTTATCTACAGAAGGGTTATTCGCAAAAAGTAGATATCATACCCTCTTGGTACCTTCCTTCTAGAGGCAAAGTTTATTTCAAAATTTTATAAAACAACCCTGTCCACTGAAAGAAAACAACCAAATACCCACACAAGATCTGTAGTTGTGATATGTCTGTTATATCTCATTTCTTTTTCTTTTGCTAAGTATCTTGGGTTCTTCCTAACTAAACATGGGAAAATCATGCAGAGGGGCCAGTGGTTTTTGGTTCTCAATACTCTGCCTGCATGAGGGTGGCCCAGAAAGTTGTGACACAGCTGCAACCTCATTTACAGTATTTTAATTTGCATTTTTTCATTAATGGTGAAGTTGAAGTGTTTGTTCTCCCATAGCAGTTTTTTAATATAATAAATGTTTATCCTTTCATGTAAAATTTCAAGCTAGTTTTCCTTTTAAACTTTGGTCGTGAATGTTTTTTGGAGGTACGTGCACAAGTTTTTATTTTTTTTTTAATGCAGTTAAATAGGTATGTATTTTATTGAATTTCTGTCTTGGTTTTTGTGGGCAGTTTTTTTTTTTTTTTTTTTTGAGACAGAGTCTCACTGTGTTGCCCCGGCTAGAGTGCCGTGGCGTCAGCCTAGCTCACAGCAACCTCAAACTCCTGGGCTCAAGTGATCCTCCTGCCTCAGCCTCCCGAGTAGCTGGGACTACAGGCATGCGCCACCATGCCCGGCTAATTTTTTCTCTATATATTTTTAGTTGTCCAATTAATTTCTTTCTATTTTTAGTAGAGACGAGGTCTCGCTCTTGCTCAGGCTGGTTTTGAACTCCTGAGCTCAAACAATCCGCCTGCCTCGGCCTCCCAGAGAGCTAGGATTACATGCGTGAGCCACCATGCCTGGCCTTGTGGGCAGTTTTTATTGAGATAAAATTCACATAACCTGAAAGTCACCATTTTAACCCCTTTAAAGTAAACAGTTCAGTGTTTTGTTTTTTTTTTAAGTAAATTCACAATGCTGTGAAACCATCACCACTACCTAATTCTAGAATATTTTTACCACCCTGAAAAGATACCTTGTATCTTCCAATTCCCTCCCCCCACCCTTTGTAACCACAATCTACTTTCTGTCTTTATGAACTTGCCTATTCTGGACATTTCGTATATATAAATGGAATCACAAAATATGTGCTTACCCTTGTAGTATTATGTTTTCAAGGGTCATCCATGTTTTATCATGTATCAGTATTTCATACCTTTTTATTGGGGTATAATCCATGGATATACCACATTTTGTTTATCCATTCATCAGCTGATTAGCATTTGGGTGCTTTCCAATTTTTGGTTACTATGAATATTTTGGGGGCGTGTGAGCATATATTTTCATTTCTCATGGGTATATATCTAGAGATAGAATTGCTGAGTCACATTTGGTAACCCTGTTTAACTTTTTGAGTAACTACCAGACTGTTTTTCATGGTGTCTATACCATTTTACATTTCTTCCAGCAATGTCTGTGGGTTCCAGTTTCTTGATATCCTTCCCAGCACTTATATTTTGTTTTTCAAATTATTATTATCATATTCATCTTATTGAGTATAAAACGGTTTCTTGTTGTGGTTTCGATTTGTATTTCCCTAAGGACTAATGATCTCGAGCATTTTTTCATGTGGTCATTGGCTATTTGTATATCGGCTTTAGAGAAATGTATATCTAAGTCCTTTGCCTATTTTAAAATTGAGTTGTCTTTTTGTTGTTTAATTGTAAGAATTCTTTATATATTCTGGTTATTAGACCCTTATGAGATATATGATTTGAAAATAGCTTTCTCCCATTGTGCAGGTTGTCTTTTCACTTTCTTGATGGTGTCCTTTGATCCACAAAAGTTTTGAATTTTGATAGAGTCAGATTTATCTATTATACCTCTTGCTTTTAAGTTTAGAAAATTTTCTGTTTTTAAAAATGGGGTGGCTGGGCACGGTGGCTCACGCCTGTAATCCTAGCACTCCGGGGAGGCCGAGGCAGGAGGATTGCTTGAGGTCAGGAGTTCCAGACCAGCCTGAGCCAAGAGCAAGACCCTGTCTCTACTAAAAATAGAAAAAATTAGCCAGGCTTTGTGGCACATTGTGTCGAGTGCCTGTAGTCCCCGCTACTCAGGAGTCTGAGGTAGGAGGATCGCTTGAGCCCAGGAGTTTGAGGTTGCTGTGAGCTAGGCACGCCGCGGCACTCTAGCCCAGGTGACAGAGCGAGACCCTGTCTCAGAAAAAAAAAAATGGAGCAAATGTTTACTTTCTGCGTTTAAACTTTTAATTCCTTATAAGTCTTTTGAATTATAGATGTACCTATTATATAACTTGTTTATGCTATAAAATTTATTTTTTATTTTTTTCCAATTTACTGATTTTTTAAAAAAAATTTCAGAATATTATGGGGGCACAAACATTTTGGTTACATATGTTGACTTTGCATCGCCCGAGCCAGAGCTGCAAGTGTGCCCATTCCCCATGCGGTGCACTCCACACCCGTTAGTTCTGAGTTTACTCATCCCCTTCACCCTCCTCCCACCAGCCCGGCACCTGATGAATATTGCTTCCATGTGAGCACCTAAGCGTTGCTCAGTTAGTACCAATTTGATGGCAAGTACATGTGGTGCTTGTTTTTCCATTCTTGTGATACTTCAAAGAGTGGGCTCCACCTCCACCCAAGATAATATAAAATTTAGTTACATAAATATTTCCCTGGGAGACTGACTGAGCTCTTCTAAGTCCTATTTTATGTTTTATTTATCTTTATGTCAGTCAATTATGCAATTATCCTGTGCCAAGCAGAAGATAGTACTGCTGAGGCCTTCTAGAAAGTAAATGCTCAGTAAATATATTTGATAGATTACTGAATTATTTTTTTAAATGATGCAAAACAAAATCTTGGCCTCCCTTTTTTTGGATGTTGGCAAGTTTAAAACTTCCTTGAAAATGTGATCTACGTATATATTTTGGTTTCTAAGACTTTTCCAAATATGGAGTATGCACAAGTGAGAGGAAATAGTAACTAAAGTACTTAATGGTAATATGACAAGATATGTACAAGGAACAGCTGTTGATTGTGAAGTAAGAATGGATATAATTTAAATATGAATACATTTTGGCCTTTTATTCCCCCCCAAATTTTTTTTTTGCTTTCTTTTTAAACTCTTTTGTGGTAAGTAGGTTTATTATTTCTTAAAAATTAGGTTAAGAGTAGTATTTTGTAATACATCTTAAATAATTTAACACAAAGTTTAACTTCTGTTTAAACACATCAGATAGAGCACATTGAAAGAACTCAGTATCTTGGAAGTGTTCAGTGAGTAGTATCAGCATTTTCCTTAAATGATATTTTGATCCCAGATAGTTGTACCTATCCCAGGTAGGTTGTATTACTCATATTTTTATATCCTCAGTACAGTAAAATTCATTTTACTTTGAATATGCCTACTTTCAGAAGACTTACAATATAGATCGGTTTTCTTTTTGTTAGAGATTTATATTTAATTAAATATATGGCAGGCTAATTAAAGGAATTCTTTAAATTTTTGTTTTAATAGTGAAAGCAAGTTGAATACATTGGTGCAGAAGCTTCATGACTTCCTCGCACACTCATCAGAAGAATCTGAAGAAACAAGTTCTCCTCCACGACTTCCTATGAATCAAAGCACAGGTAAATTGAGCTATATCTTCTAGTCTTCTTTCCATTTATTTTTTAGGGGGAACAGCTATTAAAGGTTTTCAGTTTGTGGAAAATGACAGATTAGCAACCTTTATAAAAGCCTCTATTAGTATCTTTGCTAATATCTGACACAGGAGATTTTAATTTTGGTAAGTAAAAATGTAAGATTGTATGGTAATCGAAACTTAGAGAAGGAAGCACTTATTATGGTTTTATGCGTAATGGAAATGTCTTGTAGAATGGCTGATGAATGTTGACTGTAAAAAGATAGTATTAGAAGAAGCAGGAGTAGTATAGAAAGATATTATCTTAGCAGTTATTCATGTATTAGGAGTGAAATTTTTATGTTGTTCGATCGCCGGTCCCCAACCTTTTTGACACCAGGGACCTGTTTCAGGGAAGACAGTTTTTCCACCGGTGGAGAGGTGTGTCTCCACCTTGGCTCCACCTCAGATCATTAGGTGTTGGATTCTTATGGGGAGCAGGCGACCTGGACCCTTTGCATGTGCAGTTTGCAGTGGGGTTCACGTTCCTATGAGGGTCTGATGTAGCTGCTGATCTGACAGGAGAGGAGGGTGAGGCTCGGGAGGTGATGGACCTATGGGAAAATGATAACAATGAAATGATTTCTTTAAAGGGCAAAAATCATGGGGTGTACTCACTCAAACTTAGATGATGTAGCCTACTACATACCTAGACTATATGGTATAGCCTGTTGCTCCAGGCTGTAGTGAAGTGGCTCAAGCATAGCTCATTGCAGCCTTGAATTCCTGGGCTCAAGTGATCCTCCCACCTTGGCCTCCCAAAGTGCTGGGGTGTTACAAGTGTGAGCCACTGCGCCAGGCTCATTGGGTGATTCTGTCATTGTGCAAAAATCACGGAGTGTACTTACTCAAACCTAGATGGTGTAGCCTTCTACACACCTAGACTATATGGTATAGCCTGTTGCTCCTAGGCTACAAAGCTGTACAGCATGTTATTGTACTGAATATTGTAGGTGATTGGAACACAATGATAAGTATTTCTGTATCTAAACATATCTAAACATAGAAAAGGTTCAGTAAAAATACAGTATTTTAATCTCATGAGACCACCATCACATGTGCGGTTCGTCATTGAATGAAATGTCTTTATGTGGTGCATGACTGTGATTGCCACCATAGAACTCTATATTCAGTAAAAACATCCTTCAAAAATGAGGGGTGGAATAAGGACATATCTGGACAGACAAAACATGAGAACTTGATGTCAGCAAACGTATGCTAGAGGAAATACCTCTACATTGGAGGAAATTAAAGGTTTTCTGAAATCAGAAGGAAAATAATTTGAAATGGCAACACCAAAATACAGGAAGGTAATGAATAACAATGGGAAGGGTAAATAGGTGAGTAAAACTAAATACATACTGTTATCTAATCCACAGTTTTTATTTTTCTTTCATCAATTGTCCCAATAATGTTCACGGATAATTTTTTTCCCTTTAAGTCCAGGATCCAGTTCAAGATTACATACTGAACATAGTTGTCATGTCTCTTTAGTCTTTTTAAAATCTGAAGCAATTTTTCTGTTGGGACTATGACATTTTTGAAATGTACAGGTCTGTTACTTTATCGAATGGCCCTCAATGTGGATTCTTTAGTTATGATTAGATTCAAGTTATATGTTTTTTGGCAGGAATACTAGGTAAAATGGTATTGTGTTTTCAGTGAACATACCACAGGGCACATGATATGATTTGTCCCTTTAATTGGTGGTGTTAATTTAGACTTTGTTGTTTTTGCTAGATTAATGCACTGTAAAGTTGTGATTTAATCCTTTGTAACTAATAAGTAATTTGATTGGGAGCATTTTGAGATTACTTAGGTATTCTTTTTATCAACAAAAGTTAACTTAATGTGTTTTCTATTGCAGATGACCACAAATTTAGCAGCTTAACTCAAATTTGTTATCTCATAGTTCTATAGGTCAGGAAACCAGTGGGCTTTTGCTCAGCATATCACAAGGTCAAAGTCAAGGTGTCAGTGGGACCATGTTCCTTTCTGAAGGCTCTGTGGAAAAATCTATTTCCAAGCTCATTCAAGTTGTTGGCAGAATTCACTTCCTTGTGATTATATATCTGAGGTCCCTGTTTGTCACTCATTAGTGGCCAGGATCCTCTCTTGCAGCTCCTTTCAGCTGTCCTCATTTCTTCTCATGCCCCGGCTCCATCTTCAAAACCAACAACAGCACATGGTCTTTCTCATGTTTTGAATCTTTCTGATATACCTTTTGCTTGTTGCTTCTGCTGCTTTCTACTGTCAGCTGGAGAAAATTTTCTGTTTTTAAGAAATCCTGATTTGATTAGGTCCCCTTCCCTCTCACCTCCTCCTGATAATCTCTAATTTTTAAAGTCAGCTGTGCCGTATTGCATAACACAGTCATGGGAGTGATATTTCATCACATTGACAGGTTCTAGGGATTAGGATTAGGGATGTGGAATCTTGTGGGCCATTCCTGGAGATGCTATCACAGCATCCATTCATGTGTCTTGGTTAAATGGTTTATTACTACGATAGCTTCAAAATGGTGATGGTTATAATCTGTCATTTCTTCTATGTTTTTTGATCTAATTCTGTAAGGGAGGGGTTTATGTTCTACCTTCTCTATTTATTATATACTCTTTATTTTTTCATGAATATTCTCTTACTATCATTATTTATTTTGATGTTCAAATTGTACCAGTTTTGGCTAGTGGAAGCTCCATCTGGATGGCTCCTGCTGACCTTTTTACAAGTCCTTGTTATTTCTTGAACATTTTTCATACTTTCTGCCTCCACAAGAAGTTCAAGGCTTATTTTCTGCTGTCCCTTTCCCAACCTGAAATCAGTTATTTCTCTCAGGCATCAGGATTCCTTTTAGTGGAATATGGTATTTAGAAACCAAGATCAGGGTGCATGATGTGCTCATTGCCACCAGGATGTCTTTGCTTCCAGGCTGTTTCATAGAGAAAGCCAGTATTTGTGTTGCATTTTCATGAGCTGATATTGGTATTTTCAATTCTAATTTGATACCAGAGACTTCATTTAGTCTTTCCCTTTACAGAGTTTTAACTTCTTTCTTCAACAGAAAGAAACTTGGCTCCTTAATTTATATATTCATTTGCCCAGTCCTCACCGTACCCACATAGTTTCAGAATTGCCAACCATACCACCGCATTGAAGAAACCTTAACTAGGGTTCAATATTTGTTTAAAGTTGTTTTCATTTTTAAAATGAAGTTACATTGTCAGAGTCCTGTGTTCACTAGTTAGTTGAGGAGTTCTTTTAGAAGTGGCAGACTAACATATCACATACCAATACCAATTATAAACTCTGGGCAGCATACTGAAGGAACTAGATATTGACAAAAAGTAGACAAACTGGAGGGGATTCAACCAACAGAAGAAGGAAAGCCAATGGCTCAATTCCAGCCCCCCACCCTGCCTTTTTTTTTTTTACATAGATTAACCCACTTATTATAGGCTAGTGATATTTGAAAAGGTGGAGCTTCTATTGGTCTTTAAATTCCTTCAGTCTTCTGATGCTGGACTTTACTGTGACAGCAGAAGTGGTGTTGTAGGTCCAGGCACCACCAGCTACTGTTATCATGCAGGAACCATAGTGCCAGATTCCCACAGCTTGTCTCTTCGTCTTGATTTTGCCACAGAAGGAGCAACTGTACTTGCCGTGCTGGCTGATTTCAATTTTCTTTGCCATTTTCGGAGGAAGGCCCCATAGCTGGTCCCATATTTACTGAGAATTCAAACCTCCTTGGTGCATTTAACCGTGTTGCCAATAACCAAGTCTGAGCCCAGAGAGAGCTGAATTCCCCATTGTTAAGCCTTTTTGCCTCAGAGAAGGATCCAGTTAGCTCTGTCTGTGGCAGTTAACATTGGATAAAAATGTGCAGTCTTACTGGATGTGGTATAAAGGAAAAAAATTAGGGACACTACAGCAGCTGTAAAGTAAATGAAGACATCCCACCTAAAAGACAGCCACCGAATGGGAGCCCCACATTCTGCACAAAACAAAACAAAACAAAACAAAATCTCTACCCATAGCTCCGGCTGAATTGCCTAAGTTTAGCTGAGATTCCAGGCAGTCCCATTAGGGCAGAAAGAACAGAACAAAGCTTTCAGCTGTTTCCTACTACAGGGTGGAGAGTTTGGAGTTTAATTTCAGATAAGTTAACTATTTGTTGTAACAAAAGTGTCAACTATTTGGAGGAATATAACAATTTAGTGTCTTCATCGTATTCTCAATGTCCAGTATCCAATCAGAAATACTAGACAGATGAAGAAAGGAAATGTGACCCATGCTCAAAAGGAAAGGGAATCAATCAGTAGAGACCAACTCATATGTTGAAATTAGCAGGCAGAGTATTAAAGCAGCTCTTATAACCATGCTCATGTACAAAAAGGCAAATAAATACGTTTCTGATGAATGGACAGATAGGAGATGTCAGTGCAGAAATAGAAACTAAGAAATGTTTGAAATTTCAGTGCAGAAATACAAACTAAGAGAAGTTTGAAATTCTAGAACTGAAAAATTTATTTTCTGAATAACAAATCATTGTATTTAATAGGACATTTGAGGTAGCCAGAAGTGTCAGTGAATTTGACAGACCAATAGAACTAGTAGAAATTATCCAATCTGAAAACAGAAAACATTGAAAAGTATACAGAACAACTTGTTCATCAAATCTTTTTCCCAAGAAACAGCTATAAAGTCGGATAGATATTAACCAAACACATATAAAGAATGGAAATGCTTAACCCATACTCAGGAAAAAAGGAGACAGCAGAAAATCTGAGTTGGCTTAGTGTTTTGGTGTTGTCTGTATGCTAATCTTGCATGCTTTATAGTATTTCAGGTTTGGGAGTGTTTATTTTCATTTTTATTTTTCGAGACAGAGATTCCCTCTGTTGTCCAGGCTAGAGTGCAGTGGCATCATAGCTCACTGCAGCCTCCAAT